CCTTTAAGGAACCCAAATCAGAAATATAAGACCTACCTGTGACTTTTATATTTTCTCATTTCTGTTCATCAGTCATGATACTCTGTTAATCATAACTGATAGTCTCTCCATTTCTATTTCAGTTCCTGACAAGTATTCTTTCTGCAAAAATCACACACATACACACAATGCATAGTTCATAGATCCTTGATATTAATTATTATTGTTAAATAATAGAAAAACTTACAAGTCAGAACCATACTAGGAGGTAAGCTAAATTGTTCTCCATATCTTAGAATTCAAGATCAATTCAAGATTTTTAAGAAAATTCACACACACACACACACACACACACACACACACACACACACACACAGATGCGCACGCACATGCTTAATACCTGTTGTAAGGTATAGCTAGCTTTTCTTCATGGTACATGGAATCAACTGCTTATGCTGCAGATTCTGTCTCCATTATCATTTGTGCTGCCAATACAAAGAACCAAACAGCCACACGAAAGGATCTCAGACATTCGAAACAAAACAGCATTCTTCAAGTCCTCAGATGGACACCCCAACCCTAGAACTATGCCTCTAGCACTGCATCCTTACATTTATTCATCCAAATAAAAATTGGCCAGTAAATGAGCTAGTCTGTGATCCCCTACAGAGATCACTTGAAATAAGGCAGTGTCCCAATGGCCCGGACGCACTCTGCTTTTGTTCTTGATAGAGTTGAACAGATATTACAATCTTCTCCACACAAAGTAGTCAGAAAAGTAGTATTCTTGGTGTAAGATGTGAGAAGAAGATGTTAACTTTCATAAAACATCATATTTGAATGCAGATTAAATCTATTTGGGAATAGATTAACAGGAAAGGGATGGATAGAGAAAAGTTGTCATAATGGCAAATGATTACAGCAAAACAGAGACCAGGAATTAACATCAACTGGCAATGAAAGGAAGTAATGATGTTATAAAGCATTTCCAGGAATTAAAGGTCAAGATAACATTGAACATTTCCTGTTTCTCTAATCCACCAAAATACTGGTGAATATCTCCAATAGTGAGGGAGAAGAGACGACATTTTTTTAAATCAACACTGAAAACTAGTTTTTTTATATAACTAAATTAAAGACTGTAATAGTAGTAGTGGGTTAACAAATGTCACATGTCTGACAAATACACTCAAGTGGGAAGGTAAAGACCCCAGTTTATAAAGAAGCCTATGGTCATAAGAAGTTAAATAGTCATGTCCTCTCCTCATATCTGCACAATAATTTTATTCTTGCTTCTTGGTTATTAGAATCTATTTTAAGGCATGTATTTAGAAAAATTTTACTCTTTGTTTAGATAGGAATTCATAGTTAGCTGGGCGCGGTAGCTCAAGCCTGTAATCCCAGCACTTCGTGAGGCTGAGGCAGGCGGATCATGAGGTCAAGAGATTGAGAGAATCCTGGCCAACATGGTGAAACCCCATCTCTACTAAAAATACAAAACTTAGCTGGGCCTGCAGTCCCAGCTACTCGGGAGGCTGAGGCAGGAGAATTGCTTGAATCCGGGAGGCGGAGGTTGCAGTGGGCCAAGATTGTATCACTGCACTCCAGCCTGGTGCCTGGTGACAGAGTGAGACTCTGTCTCAAAAAAAAAAAAAAAAGATAGAAAGATAGGAATTCATAGTCAGGACTTTGGGGGATTTTCTATGTAATTCCTCGATGCAGAGAATTAGGCATAGGGTAGTCACATTTCATTCTTCTGGCAACAGACTTGCGTAAGTGGAGTGCCCTAAAATTTCCAACTCTTTAACTAAAACAAGGCTAAGGAGGAGACCCAAAAAGCATCCTCTCCATTGGCAAACATTATGTTCAGATACATCTACTGTTATTCAATGGCAGAAAAAAAAGACAATCAATTGGTAGGGGGAAGCAAGGTTTACAAATTCTGTAACCCAAGATAAAGGTTCTATATTATTTGAGAAGAAATAAAGGCTATCTCTGATAAACATTTAAAATGCAGAGCAAAAGTAATGTAGGAAGTACCTACTTCTGGTACTCAGAGATGTAAATAAAGATGCATCTCTAAACAATGACAGACGTATAGGAATCAGAGTTTAGCCTGCAAGAAAAAAACAAACAAAAACAACAACAACAACAACAAACAACAGTCCCAAGCTGAACAGGGAAGGAGAGAAGAGGAGAGAAGACTACCAGAGATCACAAAAGTTTGTGAGAAAATGTTGCAAGGAAATTAAATCTATAGCAGAGATTAGGGGGGATGGAAAGTAAAAAATATACGATAAAAAACTTAATGCCTAATAAAAAGTGTGAAATTATGCCATAATGGAAATAAAAGTTTAAAGGCATTAACTATGACAGATCAATAGCTGACAGAAATAAAGTAAGTTAGAGATTCAACAGCAGATAAACTGCACACTCTTGTTCTGTTATGGTTGTAGTGGCCTACAAAACCAGACAGTTGTCAAAATGCATCAAATATAGAATTTAGATCAGAAATAAATACAGGTACACTAACAAATAAAAACGTAAACTAAAACAATGGGAGATAAAGAAAAACTTATCTAAATTTAAAAGAACTGATCATATTTTAAGTAAACGACATAAAGGGAAAAAACCACCTTGACAATTTTTAAAAAACAAAGAATAATACAAACATATACATATTAATATATACAATAGAAAATATGTATATGAATGTATCAAATAGAAATTATGTTTGTATTAAAATACCAACATATATATATATATAGCATATGTACAAATAAATATACATAAAACATATATATATTTGTGTGTATATACACACAGCCATCTATTTAAAATAAAACTTCAACTTCTCTACAATGTTAGGTATCAGAAAAACTATAGGGTTATTTCTAGTAAATTCTGAAATAAAAATATGATTTCTCAAAAAATCTGTATAGAACTAAATTTTCTTTATAACTTTTTCTACAGTTCTAAACTTTCTGAAAAGTTTTAGAAAATGTGTTACTAATATACACTTCTGAGGAAAACACATTGAATACATACTTCAGCCTTAGGAGATATTAATCAAAATAAATTTAAAACAATGAAGATATTTCTGTATGAAAGAATATCAGAAAACAAACATAAAACGCTAAGTGAAATCGATGTTGTAAATGTCATAAAATTGAACATAAATGCTAATAAATAGCATAAATACCATCTTGATCCTAATAAAAAAGAGATGTCCTTAAATATAGTTAATTTTGCAAAGACAGCATAGGTTGGACTTGGAAAAAGAAAACAAAAATGTTATTGGTTTTGATTTTTATTTCAAAAAATAATAAAATATTATTGTGAAAATTATAGAAACGCACTGGTAGAATTAAAATGGACGATGACTTTTTACATTGCAGTAGAAGACTAAAAACAAACACATATTGCATTGCAAATGACAGGAAACAAAGGCATCCAAAAAGAAATAAAAAAAACAAAACTGAGAACATAAAACAAAGTGACAGAATTAAGGCAACACATAACAGTGATAGCAGTGAAGGAAATTGCTTTAAACTATTCTGCTATTCAGAAGCAAATATTGTCAGGAAAAATTACAAAACTACATCAAATTTTAAAACACCTACAAAAAAATGACAGAAACATTTCAAATCAAAGAATGGGTAAAGTTTATTGTGCATGGAAAAACAAAACACAACTGAGCATAGAGAAGCTATTAGCAAACAAGGAAAAATTTAAGGCAAGAAGCATTAGCCAAAATGAATTGGATCATATTAAAATTGTAAAACTGTCACTCAGTGTTGCAAACCAAATAGTTTTAAATTCTTTTGCATTGATTAATGTAGTATCAAAGTGTACCAAATAAAAGCTAAGAAGTAGAAAAATAAATTGATGATGTTATACATATAAAATATGTGAAATTAGATATTTATTATATTGTAAACACATTAATATTTGTATTAATATGTATTAAAGCTCTTAGATGGGCTATCACTTACATGTGGGAAAAAAGTTACCCTTACTGGGTGGAAGTCTCACTAATTCTAAAATGGGAAAGTTATGTAGGCCATATTTTTGATAATGAAAATCTAGGAATTATTTATAATGTTTATACTAAATAACTCCACAATAAAATTTTAAAATGAAATCTTGAATAACAATAAAGTGTTAAAGATTAAGAAAACATTATGACATATTACACTAACAGTTTAATAAGTAAAAGGTTTGATTTTGATGAGAAATAGTGTAAAGAAATGAGCTAAGCATAATGCTCAAAAAGATCGTCTTTAACAAAGAAGCACTAGGCAATGTAAGAAGAATAATTCAGATAAAAGTGAAACAAAACAAAAAAGTTTGTAAAAAGGAAACTGTGAAGTTGTTTTAAAAATCCAAAAATTTATTCTAAAAATATCAATAACCAAAACCAAAACAAAACAAATTCAGTGCCTTTCTTCCCTTCCACTTCAACTTCAAGTCATTTGCCTCTTCAAATGCAAAGAGGCCGTGGCAAACATAGACAAATAATGTAGCTTATGTGCAGTTTATATGAGGCCTTGCCGTGCTTTTTGTAAAAATAGGTGGTCCAAGGTTTCTATTCCTTAGGACCAAGCAAGTGATAGAAAATTAGCATCAGGTAGCAAATCACGAAATGAAATTGTACTTCAAAACCTGTGAACTCCCGAAGGATGAAAATTCATCATCAGACTGACTTTCACAACTCTGCCAGGTCACCCTGACACCCAAAAGAAAAGAAAGAGCTAAATGAGCACTTTGAGTCTCACTGTCCTTAAGGGGAAGAGAATGCAGAGTCTGGACAGCAGAAATCAGGGGATCTGCAGCAGGAGCCTGGAGACTTTGCTGCTCCAGCATCATAAATGCATGTCCATCCACTGTACCAGCTGCTTTTTCCTGAGATATCCTAGTCCTTAAAGGCTCTCCTATCACTTGGGACAAGAAACAAACAAACAAACAAAAAACAAACCTGTTGTCTCTTAAGGAAACGTACAGAGTGGAGTTCTTTCTGATTTATGCAGCTGAAATAATAAGGGCAATAACATAACCAGTGAGAATGAGAAAAAGGAGTTTGGGGTGCAAAAAATAAGTCATTAGGCAGATGATGAACAGCCAGTATAAAAGTAAGTGACATGAAGGATACGCTCAAGGACCCATCCGGCCCACAAAGAAAGAGGTGGCCTCTGACTGCAGCGCACATGAAGCTTCCTCCGTAGCCTCTGGGCTTGTGAAATCTGTCCTATATGTTGAGGCTTTATTGAGAAGCGCACCAGCTGTTGTTGATCTCCCAACATGAGTTTCTTCTGGCGAGAGGGATCAAGTAACTCCCTGATAGTGTGCCCGGCACAGCTTGGCCCAATCCTTGCAAATGCTCGATGAGAGAGAAAGTATCCATGAGACGTGAACGAATGACATCAGCTCGGGGCAGCTGCACCTGCCCTTCTTGGTGATAAGCGGCCATGTCTGCTCAGCCCAGGCTCTCTTCACCCACTCAGTCCTGGCTTCACGCTTCCGCCTCAGGCTATGAGCAAAGCTCCCTCCACGCAGGACGAGCTCAAGGTAGGCGCCCAGCCTCACTGCGCCCCATTGCCAGCTCCAGCCTGCCCCGCCGGACCCCCCACGTTCCGGTTCGCCCCTGGCCTAGCCCTCGCCCCGGCCTCCAGCCCCGAGCCTAGGACCCGGCCCAGCCACGCTTGCTCAGGCGCTCCCCGCCTCGGTCCCCCTTTTAAATTTTATTATTATTATTTTTTATGGTTTATCTCTTTATTGTTTCTCCTTTAATCAAAACGTGTCACAGCTGGAAACCAAGAGGAAGTAAAAAAAAAAAAATACCCACAAATATTCCCCCCTGCTCCCCCATTAGTTCTCCCCATTAGTCCTCCCCTAACCCCCCAGCTAGGGCTTCTGGCCAACCCCGAGCACACGAGATCATCTCCCCCCCCACCCTCAGGCTTCTCCCAGCAATAAATACAGGTGACTATGATTCGATGAAACCGCAACTGATTTCTCAGGAGAAGGGTCCTAAGGCCCCGGGGATGATCTCCACCTGTGATGGAACCAGTGAAACTGGCTGCTCTCTGCTCCCAGGGACTGAGGAGGGGAGGGGGGATCATTGAGGGCCGGCCCCTCCCTGCCTCCTCCCCTCCATGCAAGGCTGTGCCCCTCTTCTGCTGTCTGTGTATCTCTGAGCTCCGCCGTCCCGCACTTCCTGGGATGATGTGTGAAACCTTACACCTCGATTTATTTGTGATCACTTTACAGATAAGGAAACAGGCCTCAAGCGTGGAAGGGGTAGAGTGAAGAGTAGAACCCAGGTATGATGCCAAAACTGCTTGCTTCTCTGCCTCCGCCTCACATGACTCACACCTCCTTTTCTTCTTGCTTTGTTGTCCTCCCAGAAAAGGTGTCCAGAGGGTGGAAAATAACAGATATCCATCAGAATATACGGTCAAAATAATAGAAATACCGTGGGTACACGAGTAGAACTTAAAATGACAAAAGTGATTAATAAAAATGGGACACCCTTTACACACACAAATGCGCGCACACACACACACACACACACACACACACAGAACTTTCTGATGTAGAAACCAAAACAGTAGTTCTAATTGTATCAGTTAGAAATGGAATCAGCTGAAATAATTAGAACACTTAGTTTGCAGTGGTTTAAGAAGAAAATATATATATTTTTTTTACACAATGAAAAGTCATGAATTAGGTAGACGAAGAATGGTGCAGTGATTATGGAATAATATAAATGTTCCCAGCTTTTCCTCTTTGTCTGACCCATGCTCTTTACAACTTTTGTTTTCACTGTCCTAACATAATTCCTGCACTCATAAGCATCCCATCCATTGTTAGTTGGGCACAAGGGAGGAAGGACAAAGGATGAAAGGACCATGGCAGATAAGTCTGATCCTCTTTTAAAAAGTTCCTGGACACCTCCCAAATCCAGCAATCTCTACTTCAACTTTATTGGCCAGAGCTGAGCTCCTTAGCCATCATCAAATGCAAGAGTATCTAAGAAGGTGAACATTTTAATTGGCTATATTGCCAAATTATATATTTCTTCTGTAAGAAAGGGGGAAATATACATTGAATGAGCCCTTAGAATTTTGTCAGATTAATTACAAAATTCAGAAGACAAATTGTTGACTGATCACTATTTAAAACCAAATGAGTGGCCAGAAAATCAGGGAAAAGGCATGTTTTAATACACAGAACAAATATGCAAAGAAATAAAAATTGAAATCATGAGGCCAAACATGAGATTCTGAGGCTATACTGTGAATCATAGTCATGCATGAAAGAATGGCAATAAAAAACTTATAAGGGAGGAATATTTTCATGAGTTGAAGAAATACAATTTTGCAGATTGAGACCAATCATCTATTTCTAGGCAGGACAAAGGAATAAAGATATAAATCTGGCATATCTGGGAAATATTTCTGGACTCAGGCAAAGGGGATAAGCTATCTACAATGCTAAAAACACATTAGAATTATTCAATAAAGTGAGAAATTCCTTTTATAAAAAGTGGAACAAAATAAGAGACTACTTAAAGTTATATAACTAAATCTTGATAATGCTTGATTCAAAGAGAATATCATATGTTACTGATAACAAAAATGAGGGTGTTGATTTAAAAAAATCGGGATGGAGAAAAATAATCTGTTCTTGGAAGAAAATGTTTAACACCAGATGCCTTCATTGTAAAATAAAATACCTAAGTAGGCACAGAAATAAAGTTTAAAAAGTAGAGCGACTAGAAATAAAAGTTGAAATTATTAATTTAGAATTCATAACATATACCGATAAATAGCTTTTACTACTTCAAAAGTCATCACCATGAAGAAAAGATAAGCAGTAAATTAAAGCATCTGTAAAATGGTGCTTATTTCGTGTTGCCTTATCAATAGGGTAAAAATGAAATTATGGTACATAACGAATATGTAGCCAATAAGGTAATTAATTAGAGCTGTATGATATATGACTCTGTAGGTGTGTTTATGTATTTCTCACACACATATAGTATTATAATTTTAAAAAATAATTAAATTGTTACTCATTTTGTGAGACATTAGTCAAAGTAGATAACAGAATAGGAGAGAGAAACACAAGTACAAAAAGGGAATAGAAAATTGTATGTATAGGATCACATTTTGCATTTGTGTCAAATTGTGTATATTTGTATGTGAATGTTTAAATGCATTAAATTATTTTTAAAAATATAAGATTTTTAAAAGGAGGTAAGTAGCTTAAATATAAAAAGAAAAATAATACATAAGAAAGATTTTTTTTAAAAACACAGTATATAATTGCATATAAATAACTTATTAAACATGGGCTAAATTAGTCATTTCTTGAGGAAAATACATTTTATCTGGGAAGAAACAGTAAACCTGAATATACAGAAACTAAATTTGATATTGTAATTATATTTATATAGTAATATAGTTACGTGTTGTTTATCTTAGATATGTATAAAACAGTCACTCTATCTTCCAGTAGTAATGTTAGGATACTTTAATCTCTTGAGGAGAAGACACTATCTAAACTCTTGCACAACATGTAAACCTGAAGATAGCGATCCAATTTATTTTATGAGTATGACATCAAAACCCAAGAAAATAACACAGAAAATATTCAAGCAAATAACAACGTATGTAGTTCTTCTCTGTGTTGAAAGATTAATAGAAAAACAGAATAACTTTTCCCAGCAAATAATAAACAGTAAATATGAGGCTATCTATTAACATAATGAGAATGTTTTGTCTTAATACATTTAAAAAAAAGCTATGGGATGCCAATACCATTATTTCCTTAATCTCTGGAAGCATAAATCCTTTTGGGAAAAAGCTGCTTTTGCTAAATGGTATTTTTGCTAGAAAGTGACTCCTCCAGTACCTGGGAGGACATTGATGCCAAAGTTTTTAGAAAAAGGAGACTCCATCTTCAATTATAGATATTTTATTTCTGTAGTTCCTAAGAGCAAGTGGGGAAGAAGAGAAGAAGAAGCAAATGGAAAGAAATGTGAGGAAAGGAAAAAAGAAAAAGGAAAAGTTGTACAGAGGCTGTTTTCTCTCCTTGTGACCTTGCCAAATCCTCTTTAATTACTAAGTAAAACTTTTCATGGAAATAAGCGAAAGTGCCAAAATTTGCGTCTAGTTTATCACAGATCTGAACCAAGACACTGTGGCAAAAAGGTGAAGTGAGTGGGAAGTGTGCTGCATTGACTAGTACAGGAGTTCGGTGCCCCAGCTCTGCTGGTGGATTGGGAGGAATGTGGCCTGACAGCTCCATCTTATATTAAAATAAACTCAGGATGGATCGAAGAGTTAAGTTTAAGACCTGAAACCATACAAATTCTAAACAATAACCTAGAATAAACTCTTTTGGAGATTGACCTAGGCAAAGAATTCATGATTAAGACCCCCAAAACACATGCACCTAAAACAAAAATAAATAATTGGTACCTAATTAAACTAAAAAGCTTCTGTAATGAAAGAAGCAATTATCAGAGTAAACAGAGAACCCACAGAATGGGAGAAAACATTTGCGAACTATGCATCCGACAAAGGACTAGAAGGAACACAAACCCATCAGCAAGAAAAAACAAGAATCCCATCAAAAAGAGGGCAAATTATGTGAATATAATTTCTCAAAAAAATATAAAAATGGCCAAAAAACATATAAAAAATGCTCAGCATCACTAATCATCAGAGAAATGCAAATTAAAACCACAATGAGATAACACTTATACCTGAAAGAATGTCTGTTATTAAAAAGTCAAAAAACAATAGATGCTGGCATGGATGTGATGAAAAGGCAGTGTTTATATCCTGATGGTAGGCATGTACATTAATACAACCTTTATGAAAAACAGTATGGAGATTTCTGAAAGAACTATAAGTTTCAGCTATCACTCAATACAGCAATCCCACTGCTAGGTACCTACCCATAGAAAAAGAAGTGATTATATTAAAAAGACACCTGCATGCATATGTTTACTGGGGCACAATTTACAGTTGCAAATATATGAAAACAGCCTACGTGCTCATGAACCAATGAGTGAATAAAGAAAATGTGGTGTATATACACCATGGAATACTACTCAGTCATAAAAAAAAATAATGTATTTTGCAACAACTTGGATGGAGTTGGAGGCCATTATTCTAAGTGAGGCACCTCAGGAAGGGCCAAGAGAATACCATATGTTCTCATTTATAAGTGAGAGCAAATCTGTGGACACACAAAGGCATTTGGAGTGATATAATGGACTTAGGAGACACAGAAGGGGAAATCTAAAAAAAAAAAAAAATAGAAAGAGGATATTAGGATATGGTGAAACTTGCATAAAAGCTGTGATTTGATAATAGCATTATACTAATTTTTAATTTCTTAGCTTTGACGAATACCCAATGATTATGTAAGATGTTAACATGAAAGGAAGCTGGATGAGGAGTGCAACAAGAATGTGGAGAATATTAGGAAGAAAAGTTCAATGAACATCCTTGTATTGTTTCCCTTTACCTAGATTTACCAAGTGAATGTAATTCCACATTTGCCACATTTGTTCTCTCTCTCTCTCTCCACCTCTGACTTTCCTTTTCTCTCTCT